AGGGTTTTGTGTTTTTATATATTATTTTCATGTCTAATTTTGAGCTTTCTGTCTTTTAATGAAACAATGCTTTTGATAATCCCCTTTAAACCAGGCTGTAATGTTTTAGGTTGCAAAGTGTTTGCAGTAGAAAGTTATAAAATCTTTTGAAATCTATACAGTGACATGTTACTGTTACTATTTGTTGATTATGTGTATCATGTTCTGTGTTGAATCCTTATTGAATTTGTGAAGCACCATAGTGTATAACAATGTAGATCGCTAGGAATCTTTCTATTCTGTTTTTCAAAATATACCCTAAAAGGAGCCTGGCATTGTGGTGCAGTGGGCTGAGCTGCCACCTGTGATGCCAGTATCCCATATGAGCACCGATTTGAGTCATCCACTTCCAGTTCATCCCCCTGCTAATGTGCCTGGAAAGGCCAGGGATTATGTCCGAACTGCTTGGGCCCCTGCTACACATGTGGGAGACCCTGATGGAGTTCCAAGCTCCTGGCATTGGCCTGGCCAAATCTTGGTGGTTTAGGGAGTGAACCAATGGATTTAAGAAATCTCCCTCTCCCTCTCCAACTAACTCTCAAACTCTGCCTTTCAAATAAATAAATGTTAAAAAATTTAAAAAAATATTGTAATGTCCATTAGTAGGCCATAAAACAACTCTGTTGGACAGAAACAGCATTAAAAATAAAGTGGAAAAGTATTAGAGTATTACAGTACATCACAGGTTAGAGAGGGGAATACTGTTTCCTGAGATTTTTTTCAAGTGTTTGTGTTGTGCCTGTGTCAGGATTGCCCTTTGTTTTCATACTGAAGAGCATGTGTAACAGTGTTTGAATAATGGTTCTCTAGAGCAGTGTTTCTCAACCAAAGTGCTTATTGACATTTTGGGCAAGATGATTCTTTGTTGTGAAGGCTGTCCTATGTGTTGTAGGATGTTTAGTCACGTCCCTGGCTTTTATCCACTAGGTGTCAGCAGCACTTCTCAGTGGTGACAGCAAAACTGTTTCCAGAACTAGCCCTCTACCTCCTAGGGGACAACTGTTGATAACTGTTTTTATTTTTATTTTTTATAAAGGCAGAGTTATAGAGAGGCTGAGAGAGAGAGAGGGAGGGAGGGAGGGAGATTGCTCTTCTATCTGCTGGTTCGCTCCCCAGATGACTGCAATGGCCAGCCATCTTCTACTGATCTCTCAGGCCATAGCAGAGAGCTGGATCGGGAGTGGAGCAGCTGGGACTCGAACTGGTGCCCATATGGGATACTGGCACTGCAGGCAGTGGCTTTACCTGGTATGCCACACTGCCGGCCCCAGCACTGTGTATTCTTTCTGACAATTTACTCTCTTGGCTTTGAGAAGATAGTTTTATGATCGAAACTATTGTAACTTGCAGAAAGCACATAAGTGTTAGAGTAATAGATCTGGTCTCTGCTTTGTTGCCTATCATGTAGTTATATCTCTGAGCCTCACTTTTTAAATTTATAAAATGAAGATTTTAATACCTATTTCCTGTGATTAAGAATGAACTAGTATCTAAAACACCTAGTATAGCACTTGGCATCCTGTAGGCTTCAATACAACCCAGAAATTATGGGTGTCCAGGCCTTTTTTTTTTGTTTTCTAATCAAGTCTGCATGTTTGAATAACTTTGTGTAGGCAAGTGTTTTTTTTTTTTTTTATGGTTTTATTTATTTATTTGAGAGGTATAGTTACAGAGACAGAGACAGAGACAAAGGTCTTTCATCTGCTGGTTTACTCCCCAGAAGGCTGCAACGGTTGGAGCTTGGCCGATCTGAAGCCAGGAGCCAGAAGCTTCTTCCAGGTCTCCCATGTGGGTCCAGGGGCCCAAGCACTTGGGCCATCTTCTGCTTGCTTTCTCAGGCCATAGCAGAGAGCTGGATCTGAAGAGGAGAAGCCGGGACTAGAACTGGCACTCATATGGGATGTTGGTGCCACAGGCCTAGGATTAACCTATTGTGCCACAGCGCCAGCCCTGGCAAGTGATATTTTTAAAAACTGTTCATATAAACTGACTTTTTAAAAAATGTGAATCCTGTGTTCTCTGTTTGTTTTAACTTCCAAATCTACTAACTTTAGGCACCAGATTAAAAGCATTTGTGTTGTGGTGCAGTGGGTTAAACTACCACTTTGGACCCCTGCATCTCATATTGGCAAAGTACTGATTCAAATCTTTGCATCTCTGCTGCTAATCCTTCCAGGGATGCAGCAGGTGATAGCTCAGGTGCTACCCATGTGAGAGACCTGGAGAGAGTTTCAAACTCTTGGCTTTGGCCTGGCTCAGCTCTGACTGTTGGTGGGCCTTTGGAGAGTGAAGCAGTGGATGGAAGATCACTCTGTCTCTGTATCACTCTGCCTTTCAAGTAGATGAAAAATAAACATTAAAAAAAAATCTGAACTTCTCATGTGAAGAAAAACTGACTTCGGTTTTTATATGGATTTTATATGCTATGTTCTTTAAATGTATTAACTTTTAGTCATCATATGAACCCTATGTGAGGTAGTTAATACTGTTGAACATATGAAGAAACTGAGGCACAGAGGCGTTTAGGACTTGCTGGCAGATGGAAACACACTGTAGTAATCTGGCTTCAGTATCAGTGGGTTGACTGTCTTTGAGTCCTTTTATATTATTTATTTTCTTCTCAATATGTCATATAAAACGAATCTTTACCTTAACCTGTTATTAAATCTAAAAATTTCTAATAGTGTGGCATTTCTTACGATCCTTAAAACCTATAATATGAGTTTAAACAAGTCTTTTCTGTGTTTTGTTTTTGTATGGTTCAAGAGCTAAGAGGTTTTGTTTTGTTTTACATTTTCACAGTTGAGAAAAACGAAAAATATTTTATGATATGTGAAAATTATATGAAATCCAGATTTCACTGCCCATAAGTATAAACATTTATGAAAATACAGCCATAGTCATTGCTTTACCTATTGTTTATGACTACTTTTGTGTAACAACTGAGTTAAATAGTAGCTACAGGCCATATGCCCTGCAAAAATGGAAACATTTACATCTATCCCTTTACAGAAAAAGTTGCCAACCGCTGTTCTGGATGATTTACTATGTATTGTGGTTAATTCCTCATTTCTTACTTCCCTTCACTAGAATGAGAACTCCATAAAGGCAGAAATCTTTGTTTTGTTCATTGATATGCCCTAAGTACCACGAATAGTGCTTGGCTTATGATAGCTGCTTGGTAAATACTTGAATAGAGTAAAAAATGCATACATTTATAATACGTCTGTGTAATATTCAAAATGATGATAATCAGCATTATTAAGTACCAGGCAATCATATGAAATGCAGATGTTGTATTTCCATTAAACACCAAGAGGAAACTAATAAATTGAAAGATAAAAGTAACTTACCTCCTAGGGTTCCACAGCTAAATAAATGGTAGAATTGGTATGTGACTATAGGACTGGTTCTCTATAAATAACCCAATGTCTAACCTGTAATGCCTTTTATGGAAGGTACTTAGTTAATTTTTTTATGTGTAGTGGAATTGTTTTGACTTAGGAGTTTGCACCTCTTCTTTTCTGTTACTCTTTAATCAGAATATAGTTCCTGCCTGGAGCAGGCAGTGAGGAAGCTTGGATTGTGCTTTGTTTTAGGTGTACTGGGTCAGACTTCAGAAATAAATGTGAAGTATGGTATTAGTAGCTTTTTGTTCTCTTTTACTTGTCATATTTAACCTAACCAGCCTTTTTCCATTAAAATAAATTTTGAAACTAGAATTGACACAGTGGAATGTAGATTTAATATAGGTAATAGATGGTTTGAATCTTTGAATTTTAACTTTATAGAATTTTTGGATAATATGTGTGTTAAATATTAGAATTTAATTTGTCATTAAGTGTAAAGTTACTTAAGAATAGTCATTTTCTCTTGAATACTAGATATAAATTGATGGTGTTTATATTTCTTGATATTTTTATTGATTTGCACCTTTTTCCCAAATGCATTTACTTTCTCATACTTTTTTTTTTTTTTTTTTGACAGGCAGAGTTAGTGAGAGAGACAGACAGACAGAAAGGTCTTCCTTTTCCGTTGGTTCACCCCCCAAATGGCTGCTATGTCCGGTGCGCTGCGCCGATCTGGAGCCAGGAGCCAGGTGCTTTCTCCTGGTCTCCCATGCAGGTGCAGGGCCCAAGCCCTTGGGCCATCCTCCACTGCCTTCCCGGGCCCCAGCAGAGAGCTGGACTGGAAGAGGAGCAACCGGGACAGAATCCGGCACCCCAACCAGGAGTAGAACCCTGGGTGCCGGCGCTGCAGGTGGAGGATTAGCCAAGTGAGCCGCAGCGCTGGTCTTCTTTCTCATATTGTGATGTGTTAGATTTCTACATTGTACTACTACTGTGCTTCCAGCCCAGAAAAATAAATAAGCTACTAAGTCTTTATCTTAGTTTTCTTTTTTAAAAAATAGCTATACTAAGATTGTCTAATGGCATTCGAATAATCAATATTGTATAAATATTTCCTGCATAGGTCAGTCTCATTTTGATATTAAATTTTAAACAAGCTATATGATATTTCTGAAATTTTATTTTGTAAAAGTAGAATAACATGAATAATATTTTGAGTAAAGAAAAGAGCACATCATACTAACACAACTGTTCTAATGTTTACATGTGCCTCTGATATGCTTGCTTGTATTTAATATCCATAGAGGGTAATGAAATTTTTGGCTGAGGGGACCTGGTTTAATTCCTTTTATTTAAAGAAACTGATTTTGCATGCATCATTTTTCTATATTACCAAGTTCTTCAGATGCAAACCAGCATCCTCCTGACCTAATGTATTTTTTATTATATGTTAAAAAATCATAATTCATGATTTTCTTTATTTGTACTTTGATATAACCTGTTATAAGTATCTTGGTATGTACTAAAGTTAGTAAAAATGCATTTGAATATTTCTTACTGGTACATGTCTGCATGTATTTACTATGGCCTTCTTTTAAATTTTTTATTTAGCTTTCTAAAACCAACTTTTCCAACAACAACGATTTCCGTGCTCTTCTGCAGTCTTTGTATGCTACTTTCAAGGAGTTCAAAATGCATGAGCAGATTGAAAATGAATACATTATTGGTTTGCTTCAACAGCGCAGTCAGACCATTTATAATGTACATTCTGACAATAAGCTCTCTGAGATGCTTAGTCTCTTTGAAAAGGGACTGAAGAATGTTAAGGTGAGTTACAATCATTGATATTTAACTATCACAACTTATACCACATTCTGATATGTTACTGGCAAAATTTGTTAGCAATTTAGAGTAAGTGCTATTAAAGAAAAAAAAAGTTTGTAGCTGTTAAAGGTGGAAAAGAAGATATTCAAGAGGCACAGCTGCAGTGGAGGCTTGCAGTAGGATAGAGAAGGAAGGGTCAACTCCCAATAAAACCAGAATAAGTAGGAGTTTATAGCCAAGGAGCAAGGTGGGACTCAGTGGATGAAAATACACCAAGAGGAAACATGAAAGCTAGGGCCTTCTTGTTAGAACAGCTCTACAGGATTCTTGCTGAAGGCAAGCAGGGGAGTAAGTTAATTTGACCAGATACTGGGAGTAGTCAGATCTCAGGGGAGAAGGTTTTCACTACCAACTCAGGATTCTTGATAAAATGGTCTGGGTGGGCCAAGGGTGGAGTGCAAAGTTAGGCATATGAGAAGAGGGCTCAGAGGAGCCTGGTTTAGCTTTAGCAAGAGTCTTATTAATCAATTGCTTCTTTATTACTGTTTTATAAAATTTTATAAATGTTACTCACCAAGACTGAATTAAAATTTTAATTACCATAAAGTTGTTAGATTCTGTTGACATTTGTTATCAGTGCAGGTACAAGGGACTAAAGGTAAAATTGTTACTTAGATTGAATACACACTTTAATTTTATACTGTTTATTTGAAAGGCAGAGTGAGAGAGAGATACTTCATCTACTGGTTCATTCCCAAATACCCACAACAGCCAAGATCTGGGCCAGGCAACAGCCAGGAACCGGAAACTCAATCCTGCACATGATGACAGAGACCCAAGTACTTGGGTCATCATCCAGTGTTTTCTTAGGCAGGTTAGCAGGGAGCTGGATCAAAAGCAGAACAGCCCAAAGTTGAACTGTCTCTCAGATAAGGGATACCTGTTTCACAAATGGTGGCTTGACCTATGCCGCAATGCCGACCCCAGTAAATTTTATTTTAAAGTTCAGTGCCATATATAATGTTTACTGTATTTTATTTTTCTCATGGTAGGTAGCAGGGATGACTAAAAAAGGACAGTTTTTAATTTTATAACAAAACAATTTTAAGTATAGTTCAGGGTAATGTTATACTTTCCTCTTAATTATGTTTATATGTTGTAGATATTTGAAATTTGATCTTATTTCCTTCTGACTCAGTGAAGAATAGGCTTAAGTTAAAGCTCTATCAAAGTATGCTGTACCCTTTTGAGATTGGTGTTCTAGAAAGGCTGTTCTGTAGGGGTGGGGAGGAGGATGGATTGAAGGAGAGGTAAAGACTGGCAGGAAGACTGTTACAGAAATATTATTGTAACAGTCTCTGGAGAACACTTAGTAACTACCTGGTCAAGAGGGTAGGAGGTTGGGTAGGGTACTGGATAGTAACAGAAGAGAGATTTATTTTCCTGTTGAAAGCTCCTTTGTGCTCTTGGAATTTTGTATCATATTCATGTGTTACTTTTTCAGTAAGATCTGAACTAAACTAATGACTACTAGACGTAGGGGAGGGATAGACAACATTTTGTAGGAAATAAAATTGATAGAGGATGGTGATTGTGTATAGAGAGAAGGGGAAAAAGAAGTGGGAGGATCGAGCCTGACTTTCTAGGGTGTATAGAAGAGGGTTGGAAAATAAAATGATCATTCTGGACTGGTTAGGCTTGAACTGCTTATGTAATCCAGGTGGACATTTATTAATAGGAGGAGGAGGAATAAATGGATTTCAAGGTCAGGAGAGTAATCTGATACGGAAAAGAAAATATGATAATTACTAGAATATAAGTAGACATGGAAGCCACATGGCTATGCTTAAAATATGTAAAAACCTAAGATAATAACACATTGGATTGAACTTTGGGAAGCAGTTAAATAAATTAGCTCAAGAAAAAGGAGACTAGAGAGAACTCAATATGTATTAAAATATTGACAGCAGTAGTCCCTTTTTTTTTTAGTGTAAAACAGGATGATCAGATCCAACACCTAAGATTTGGTTTCCTTTAGTAATGTGATTTTTTTTAAATAGTAGTAAAAATAAAATTATTAAATAATAGTAAATATTAAGTAGAATAATATTTTAAAAATGCATAAAAAGTCTAAAACCAAAATATTCACATATTTTCAACTTTTCATTGTTTTGTATATTTCCACATGGTTGAAGTTGAGAAGGTTGGTATAGAAGTGATGGATAGGTTACAGGAAAATGTGATTTTAGTCCATGTGAGAAAGAACTTGTTAGCTCTTAGAGTTGCCTAGAGTTAGAATGATTTACTTTAGGTATAATGAGCCCCTTGCCTTTGGAAGTGTTGATGCTAATGTATAAGATCTTCTGTATTAGGATCACATCACAAGTATTCTGAATATTTTAGTGGACTGTGTTCCATGATCTTAAAGGGATTTTGTAATGATACATTTAGATGGGCTTTTGTGGGGCTGGCTGCTCTGAGACATAAGATTATTAACACATGGTTACATGAAGGTATAAATTAGAAATCAAATCAGAAGAAGTTTTGAGCAGCAACCTCCTGCTTTTAGATGTTTTATTCATTAAAAAATAATCACATTGCTAAAGAAATTAAAAATTTATGTTTTGGATCCGACCACTCTTTTAATATCATAGAAAGTAAAGAGGCAACTGCTATTTGTCTGTCTTTTCTGAGATTTTATGTTGCATTTAAACTGATTTCCTGGGATCAGGGACAATATACATAAGCAAAACTTTCATAAGAAATATTTTTTTGTTTCCAGAATGAATATGAGCAATTAAATTATGCAAAACAGCTGAAAGAGAGATTGGAGGCTTTTACAAGAGATTTTCTTCCTCACATGAAAGAGGAAGAAGAGGTAAGTATATTTTATATGCCTTGTGATTTAGATTTATAAAATCTTACAAATACTTTACCTCCTTAGAGTCAAAATAATGCATAGAAAGATAATTCTGACTGATGGTGAGAAGCCTTGAGTTTCTTTTGGGCGCTCAAAGAAAAAAAACCCAAGAAGGAAAAGCATCATTTCATTTCCTCAGAAAGGTTGTTACTTTTTTTGAATGAGTGATTTAATTCATTTCATCAAGAAATTTTTATTTTGTTACTGTAGATGGGGACTGTGTTAAATGCTAATAACTTTTTTATATCACCCAATTGTCTTTTCAGATACTTTAGAAGGTTCTTTAAACTTTTGGCTTTGTTTATATACTAAGTTTAAGGATTTCTAGTAATTTTTGGTTTTGGTAGTGGACTTTAGCAATTAAATGAGGTTTTAAGTTTATCAGTTTCTCTGTCTCTGTCTCTCTTCTCTCTCTGCCTCTCAAATAAGAGGTGAGTGCTTGGTCTCACAGTTAGGATAGTCGTCTCCAATATTGGAGTACCTAGGTTTGATAGCTCAGTTCTAATTTTCTGCTAATGTGGGGAGGCAGCAGGTGATGTTCAAGTGCTTGAGTTCCTGCCAATCACATAGGAGACCTGGATGGAGTTCCTGGCTCTTGGCTTCAGTCCAGACCCAGCTTGAGCCATTGTGGGCATTTGGGGAGTGAACCAGTACAGAGGAGTGCTCTTCAATGCTTGCTTATGCACACTGTCTCCCTTGCTCTCCCTTTCATAGATAAATGAATAAATATTAAAAAATTCATCAGTTTTATGCCTAATACACATATATTAAGGGTTTTATTCAGTGGGTGAGCAAAACATTTTCCCTTCTTTAATATGGGATGAACATTAGTGTAAGATACAGAGAAAACATTTTATGAGGATCTACATCCTTGTTCAGCTATAATGCAGTTGTCAATTATAACTTCATCTTATAATCAGACTGATTGAAAAAAAGACAACAACCTACTTAATCCCTTTCCAGACCAGTTAAATCAGGTAGGAGGCATTGGCATGAGTATTTTTTTCAGGGCTCCCAAACTTAATGTATATGCAGCCAGCATATTACATTGAATATGCTTTGAAACCAGTGTTACTAAAGCAGTGTTGCCCATACTGTGATGCTCATCAAAATTATCCGTGGAGGGCTGGCATTTTTCCTAGTAGTTAAGATGATGGTTGGGAGCCTGCACCCCATATTGGAGTGCCTGGATTCCAGTCCAGTCACTCCCAATTTCAGCCTCCTGCGGATGTTCCCTGTGGGAGGCAGCAGATGCTGACGTAAATGGTTGGGTTTCTGCCATCTGCGTGGGAGACTTGGATTGCTGGTCCCTGGCTTTGGTCTGGCCCAGACCTGACTGTTGCAGGCATTTAGGGAATGAACCAATGGATGAGACATAAGTCTGTTTTTATCTCTCAAATAAATGCATAAAATAAAAAATAAATATCTGTGAAACTAAAAAAAAAAAAAAAAAAAAACTTTGTTTCTACCTCTCATTTGTTTCACTGAAGTTTTCCATAAATGATTATCTAGGAGTCCCTGTGGTAAAATAGTGATTTGGGGAAACATCTCCAAAACCCAGAAACAATATTGAATAGTTCAGAATCTTAGTAGAATTCTTACTTTGATGGTTTCACTACTCTTGAGTTTCATTTTCACTTGAGGTGGAGGTTGTTCTTGTGTGGAGTTCAGTTTTTTTTTTTTTAATTTTTTATTTAGTAAATATAAATTTTCAAAGTACAGTTAATGGATTACAATGGCTCCCCCCCCATAATTTCCCTCCCACTCACATCCCTCCCGTCTCCCGCTCCCTCTCCCATTCCATTCACATCAAGTTTCATTTTCAATTATCTTTATATACAGAAGATCGATTCGGTATATATTAAGTAAAGATTTCATCAGTTTGCAACCACACAGAAACACAAACTGTAAAATACTGTTTCAGTACTAATTATAGCATTACTTCACATTGGACAACACGTTAAGGACAGATCCCACATGAGAAGTAAGTACACAGTGACTCCTGTTGTTGACTTAACAAATTGACACTCTTGTTTATAGCATCAGTAATCTCCCTAGGCTCTAGTCATGAGTTGCCAAGGCTATGGAAGCCTTTTGAGTTCGCCGACTTCATCTTATTCAACAGGGTCATAGTCAAAGTGGAAGTTCTCTCTTCCCTTCAGAGAAAGGTACCTCCTTCTTTGATGGCCCCTTTCTTTCCACTGGGATCTCACTTGCAGAGATCTTCCATTTAGGTCGTCTTCTTTTTTTTTTTTTTTTTTTCCAGGGTGTCTTGGCTTTCCATGCCTAAAATACTCTCATGGGCTCTTCAGCCAGATCCAAATGCCTTAAGGGCTGATTCTGAGGCCAGAGTGCTATTTAGGACATCTGCCATTCTATGAGTCTACTGTGTATCCCGCTTCCCATGATGGATCGTTCTCTCCCTTTTTGATTCCATCAGCTAGTATTAGCAGACACTAGTCTTGTTTGTGTGATCCCTTGGACTCTTAGACCTATCAGTGTGATCAATTGTGAACTGAAATTGATCCCTTGGACTAGTGAGATGGCATTGGTACATGCCACCTTGATGGGATTGTATTGGGATCCCCTGGCATGATTCTAACTCCACCATTTGGGGCAAGTCCGATTGAGCATGTCCCAAATTGTACATCTGCTCCCTCTCTTATTCCCACTCTTATATTTAACAGGGATCACTTTTCAGTTAAAATTTAAACACCTAAGAATAATTGCGTGTTAATCACAGAGTTCAACCAGTAGTACTAGAAGAAAACAAAGAGAAAATACTAAAATGGATAAAGTATTACATTGTACATCTACAGTCAGGACAAGAGCTGATCAAGTCACTGTTTCTCATAGTGTCCATTTCACTTCAACAGGTGGAGTTCAGTTTTTACAGTACAAGAAGGCAGTAAATTGACCTGTGTCTAACACTAAAAATGCCTGTTTATGAAACTCAGTGCAGGAGAATCCTCTGGTCTTGATGCTTTCAAGTTGCTTAGAGTTTGACTTAGCTGGAGAAAGCACAGAGAAAAGGATCCTTTTGACAACATTTTCTGCAATTTTATCTCTGAAATATACAGTCATAATAATATACTTGAGCCATTACTAATATGAAGAGTGTAGAGTAAAACAAAACAAATTAATTATCTTACCTTATGAATATTCTGTTTAATTTAGGTTTTCCAGCCCATGTTAATGGAATATTTTACTTATGAAGAACTTAAGGATATTAAAAAGAAAGTGATTGCACAACACTGCTCTCAGAAGGATACTGCAGAACTCCTTAGAGGACTTAGTCTATGGAATCAAGCTGAAGAACGACAGAAGTTTTTTAAATATTCTGTGGATGAAAAGTCAGATAAAGGTGGGATTGATATATGTAGATAGAGAACATTTTAGTTAGAGAACATTTTATTAGCTCAAGGCCTTTGACCTCTTGTTGATATGAACTGTAGATTTTGTTTGAGGAATCATTTAACTCAGGCTTACAGTGTGGTTAGTTGAAGCCTTTTAAATCACTTAACAAATTTAAATGAGGACTGTAGTTTCTATTTCATTTAAAAAATTTTAATGTATAAAAATGGTGCTATGTATGGTGTGCCATGTGATGATGTTTTGGTACATGTATACATTGTGTAATGTCCAATCTGTGTAGTTTCTGTTTTATAATTTAGTGTTGTCTATGATTTATCATCTCATATACTTGGGTCATAAACGGTATAGTGTTTCTTGAATGAATTTATATATGCAAACAATATATATTTTGTTTTTGACAGGCAGAGTGGACAGTGAGAGAGAGAGACAGAGAGAAAGGTCTTCCTTTTGTCGTTGGTTCACCCTCCAATGGCTACCGCGGCCGCCTGATCCAAAGGCAGGAGCCAGGTGCTTCTCCTGGTATCCCATGTGGGTGCAGGGCCCAAGGACTTGGGCCATCCTCCACTGCACTCCCTGGCCACAGCAGAGAGCTGGCCTGGAAGAGGGGCAACCGGGACAGAATCCGGTGCCCCGACTGGGGTTCCGACTGGGACTAGAACCCGGTGTGCCAGCGCTGCAAGGCGGAGGATTAGCCTATTGAGCCGCAGCGCTGGCTTGCAAACAATATTAATAATATTTGGCCAACCAAAGTTATTGAAAACCACCATGAACAGAGCACTTTTATAGTGTAATCCAACATTATGGATTCCATGGATCATAGTGGCTTTTTTTTTTCTTTTTTTCATTGATTTTCTAAATCATTCATATGGATGGTCCCCAATTTAAAATTGTTCAATTAATGAGGGCCGGCGCCGCGGCTCACTAGGCTAATCCTCTGCCTAGCGGCGCCGGCACACCGGGTTCTAGTCCCGGTTGGGGCGCCGGATTCTGTCCCGGTTGCCCCTCTTCCAGGCCAGCTCTCTGCTGTGGCCAGGGAGTGCAGTGGAGGATGGCCCAGGTGCTTGGGCCCTGCACCCCATGGGAGACCAGGAAAAGCACCTGGCTCCTGGCTCCTGCCATCGGATCAGCGCGGTGTGCCGGCCGCAGCGCGCCGACCGCGGCGGCCATTGGAGGGTGAACCAACGGCAAAGGAAGACCTTTCTCTCTGTCTCTCTCTCTCACTGTCCACTCTGCCTGTCAAAAAATAAAAATAAAAAAAAATTAAAAAAAAAATTGTTCAATTAATGATTTTTTTTGACTATATGATGGTGCAGAAGTGGAAGGCATATTGTACTTCACGTTTTTTGTTTTGGTTTCTTCCCAGGCTGGCAGTATTTGGTATGATACTCTCTAGTGATGCTGGGCAGTGGCAGCCATAGCTTCCAGTCAGCCATGCAAGTCACAAAGGCAAAAGCTGACACAGCACAATGTATTGTGCAGCTAAGCTATGATATTTGGTAGATTAGGTGAATTAAATACATTTTCAACTTTCAGTAGGTTTACTGTGCTCTAACCTCATCATAAGTCAAGGAGCAAACTACTTATATTTCTACCCTTTTTCATGTATCATTCTGTATGTTTATATCCAGTAGTACTCAAGGGAGTGAGTATGACAAAGCTTTTCTGTATACAGTTACTTTGAAAGTATACCTGCTTTTTTTTTCATAGCAGACTACCTCTTTATTTTTTATTCTTATTTATCTTTAATAGTTTTGCCCTTTAAGACATAATTAAAGAAACAGTTGGCATTCTCAGGTTTGTAAAAATTTCCTTACTTCCTGATGGGTGGTAGCAATGGTTTTCCTGTTAAAATAGACTACAATTTTTTAAAATTAGTCCTTTATTCTTGTTTTTATATAATAAAGTAGGTTAAACTCATGTTGAAACAAAAATATTGTAAGTTAAGCTGTAATTAGGCCCATAAAGTTTGTATACTTTACTCTGAAATGCAGCTTGTGCCTCATATACCAAGCTAAGATCTGTTAGATCTGGTTTAATTGTAATTATAACATGAGATTTAAAAGCATCACACTTAATTATGTTTAATTTTCTTCTTCAAAGCAAATTATAGCTGTGTTATGTTTAAAATATTTGGCATTTTAAAAGTGGTAGTCTAAAGCAATTTGATCATCCTATTTCTATATTTAAGTCGTTTTGTGAAGACATGATATACAAGATTCTTAAATTCTTTGTAGTAGAATTTAGTATACATCTTTTATTTAGTACTGTATTTTCATTTGCTTTCAAAAAATTGCTGCTGAAATAATACATTGTAAGAAATACATCTAATGACTTAGTTTCTCTGGTAGTTGCTGACAAGAGTCCCTTTCATTGTATACCAGCATCAGAACTATTTATATTGTATCAACTAGTATATAACTTAGGTAAGTTATGTATAGGTTAATGAAGTTAGATACCACAGACCTTCTATATGAAATAAGAAAATTAAAAAGGGAACATGTGGAAAGTCCTAACAGGAGTCATAATGCCTGAATAGAACATATGAGATTTGTGGGTGTCATTAAAATGCCTTGGAGATCTCATAATCTGGCCTACTATATACTTACTGATTTAAAGCTGTGTAACCTGTTTGGTTCCTTTTCCAAATGATGCTACTTATGCTACAAAGTGAGTATTGTTTTTGCTGTAATGCTTTTGTAAGAGGAAGTCAAATGTGTATTCATTATTGTAGCTCCCACTGGTGGAGTATGATTTGGGCTATGATAGTTTAACCCTACAGGTTCTTAACAATTTTAACATCCTCATGGGACCTGTAAAACATGTTACTTCCTGTTCACATCTTGCAAGCAGGAAGGAATTAACTCCAGGTACTGGATTTTATTTATAGAAATGTGGTTGTAATTTCTTGTTGCGTTCTTAAAGCCTTTACTGATAATTTTTTTCTTTTTATTTCAGAAGCAGAAGTATCAGAACACTCCACAGGTATAACCCATCTTCCTCCTGAGGTAATGCTGTCAATTTTCAGTTATCTTAATCCTCAGGAACTATGTCGATGCAGTCAAGTAAGCACGAAATGGTCTCAGCTGGCAAAAACCGGATCACTTTGGAAACATCTTTACCCTGTTCATTGGGCAAGAGGTATGTTAATGGGACTTTTAAATTTTTTTAAAAAATACTATGATGTATTTTTCTAGGTGAATACTTGCAGTCATTAGTAAGCAGAATCAGGAAAGAAAACTGAGAGGTTGACTAAAAAGTGGATTTCATTGTTAGGTGATGAATTCTTGGTATACATTTTTGAAAAGCTAATAATGGTAAAATGTTCATGGCTAAATTATATGGTGTCTGCAGTTTCCTTCAAAATAACTAGGAAAAATAGTCTGGGGAGGAAATGCAAAGATTGACAAAATGTTGATAAATGTTCATGATAGGTAATGGGGTACATGGAGATTCATTGTATTAGTTCTTTCTATATTTGACTATGTTTAGAATTTTTCATAAAACTTTTAAAATTGATTTTCAGAACAGTTAAGTAAATTATTTGAGATCTTTTTTTAAAAAAAGATTTATTTATTTATTTGAAAGAATTAGAGAGGGAGAAAGATCTACCATCTACTGGTTCACTCCCCAAATGGACCCAGTGGCCAGGCCTGGGCCAGACTGAAGCCAGGAGCCAAGAGCTCCATCCTGATCTCCCATGTGGGTACAAGGGCCCAAGCACATGGGCCATCCTCTGCTGCTTTCCCAGGCACACTAGCAGGGAGCTGGCCCGGAAGTGGAGCATCTGGGACTCAAACTGGTACCTATTTGGGATGCTGGCACTGTATACAGTGACTTCACCCTCTTGTGCTACAGTGACAGCCCTTTGAATATCTTAAAAATAGAGAATTCTATGAAATTTTAAGATGAGGTACCATTATGGCTTATCTTGGTGGTGAATCAAAATAATCTATTTTTGTCTATAACATTTTTTGTGATGGGTAATTTCTCATATCACAAACTCATTAATTTCATTGTAGTGTGTTACTTACACATGTGAATAGTTAAAGAACATTTTCTTTTCATGAGCATATTTTACAACCATGGATTCTCATAGCTCATGGCATCTCCTGTCACTGAATTAAAAGTGTTTTCTAGGTGAATATTAACTTAAAAATTTACATTAACTTTTTTATAGTTCTCCATTTTGTGAGATTTTAACATGGAAATATTTTTTTAAAAAAGGTTTGTTTATTTATTTATTTATTTTAAAGGCAGAGTTAAAGGGAGGGAGGGACAGAGATCTTTCATCTGCTGGCTTACTTCCCAGATGGCTGCAACCGCCAGAGATGAACTCATCCTGTCAGTGGCCAGGAGCTTCTTTCCGGTCTCCCACATGGGTGCAGGGGTCCAAGTACTTGGGCCATCTTCCACTGCTTTCCCAGGTAAATCAGCCGGGACCTGAACTGGTGGCCATGTGGGATGCCAGCACTCCATATGGTTGCTTTATCTGCTACGCCACAGTGTTGGCCCCAGAAATATGTGTTTATCACATCATTTTGTGTTTGATTCAAATTATGAATATTTTAAAAAGTTCTTATTTGTTCCAATAATATATAAAATTAAAAATGTTAGAGGGGCAGGCGCTGTGGCATAGTTGGTAAGGCCACTGCCTGCAGTGCCGGCATCTCATATGGGTGCCAGTTTGAGACCCAGCTGCTCCACTTCCAATCCAGCTCTCTGCTATGGCCTGGGAAAGCAGTAGGAGATGGCCCAAGTCCTTGTACCCGTGTGGGAGACCTTGAAGAAGCTCCCAGCTCCTGGCTTCAGTTCGGCACAGCTCCAGTTGTTGCAGCCAATTGGGGAGTGAACCAGCAGATGGAAGATTCTCTCTCTCTGCCTCCCCTTCTCTCTCTGTATAACTCTGATTTTCAAAGAAATAAATAAATCTTAAAAAAAGATATTTAATATTTTTGAGTTGAGCTATTTGGAGTGTTGGGTAGACTTATATGATCCAAATAATTAGAATCGTTATTTTTTATGCAGAATAACTTTTCCTGTTAGTTGTAGGATAATGAAATATTGAGTGAGCAGTTAAATAAGAGATGCATCAAGTACTTTTGTTGTATCCAATTATGAGTTCTTAATTGAAGACGACTTCACATATGAATGCAAATGTAATAGTGCTATTAGTGAATGCACTCAAAACTTTAATAAGCCTTTTTAAAAGAATGTATTTAAGCAAGGAGTTCCAATAAAAATGGTTTTTATATATGGGATTTGTTTTGAGTGGTTTTCAGTCCAAATTGATTTTTTTCTTTTTTGACAGGTAGAATTATAGACAGAGAAACAGAGAGAAAGGTCTTCCTTCCGTTGGTTCACTCCCCAAATGGCTGCTACGGCTGGCGCTGCGCCAGTCTGAAGCCAGGAGCCAGGTGCTTCTTCCTGGTCTCCCATGAGGGTGCAGGGGCCCAAACACTTGGGCCATCTTCCACTGTCCTCCCGGGCCCCAGCAGAGAGCTGGACTGAAAGAGGAGCAACCAGGACTAGAACCGGTGCCCATATGGGGTTAACCGGCGCCACCCCCACCTCCCTCCCCACAACATTTGAAATGTTTGGAAACATTTTTTGTTCATCCCATATTGTTTTATTTTGGCATCTAGTGGGTAAAGGCCAGGGTTGCTGCTAAGCACCCTACAATCCACAAAATAACCTCCTGTAACAAAGAATTTCTGGCCAAGGGCAAGTGTTGTGGCATAGTGGCTTAGCATGCCACTTGGACCTGACTACTGTCCTTCTGATCCAGCTCCCTGCTAATGCATCTTGGGAGTCATGGGACAATGGCTCAAGTGGTTGGGCCCCTGCTACCCTCATGGGAGACTTGGATGGAGTTCTGGTTTCTGGCTTCGGCCTACCTCAACATCGGCTGTTCTGGGCATTTGGAGGGTAAACCAGCAGATGGAAGATCAGTAGATCGCTATTTCTCTCGCTCTCGCTCTCGCGCGCGCGCTCTCTCTCTCTCTCTCTGTCTTTCAAGTAGATAAAAATAAATAAGTATTTTTAAAAAAAGAATACTCTAGCCGGATATGTCAGTAATATTAAGGTTGAGAATCCCTATTTTAGATGTAGTATTAAGAATAAATACATTAATTCTGCATTGTCTTTCACAGTAATGTAGTTTAGTTGCAATATATTTTCCAGGATTTCTATTTATGGTTTAGCTTTACCTTAGTCTTTCCCTTTGAGTTCTATTCCTGCCTACTTCTGAATTAGAGTCCAATATGCTTTGGTTTACTAGCTAGCATTGTATTGGGACTGTCTCAGGAGCCAGGTGAAGCCACAGTAGGGGAAAAAGGTTAGGTTGTTTTCAGTGGTTTCTGAAGTTTCATGTAGGGCCATTAATAACTACTTTTTCTAGAAAAGATTACAACCACTAAGTCTATTCTGTAAAATATAACAGTTGGAAAACATTGCATACAGAGAATAAATACATAGTAAGGGTATAGCAGTCTATGTACATTTTTGTAGTTCTGTTGTCAGTTTTAGAGAAGGATTTACTTTGGGAAAATATGAACTATTGATAATTTGTTAGTAGTATTAACTGAATCTATATATAGTCCTAGTTCTTTATTATGTTTGAAATGGAAGCATTAGCTTATTTAAGTGTAGGGTTTTTTGTTTTGTTTTGCTTTCTTTAATCCATAGTTAAATACTTCTAAAAGTAGCTGGTCTTTGCCTGTAACTTGGATGTTTCCAGTGTGTAGAGGTTTTTATTGTAAATAGATAGGTGATCTAATCTGATTTTGTTCCTCTTATTTATTCACTGGATAGGTGATTGGTATAGTGGTCCTGCAACTGAACTTGAAACTGAACCTGATGAGGAATGGGTGAAAAATAGGAAAGATGAAAGTCGTGCTTTTCAAGAGTGGGATGAAGATGCTGACATTGATGAATCTGGTAAAGCATGTTTGGGATTAAATTATTACATGACATTTTAATAGCTGATATTATGTTTAATAATTAGGAATTAAGATTCACGTGTTTTGTGTTTTCTGAGAAATGGGGCTTTGGATCTTCTTCTTCTCTCTCCGTCTCGAGATTTATTTTATTTATTTGAAAGAGAGTTACAGAGTGTGGTAGAGACAGAGAGGTCTTCCATCCACTGGTTCACTTCCCAGATGGCTGCAAAGGCTGGAGCTGCGGCGATCCAAAGCCTGGAGCTTCCTCCTGCGGCAATCCAAAGCCAGGGTCTCCCACGTGGGTGCAGGGGCCCAAGAACTTGGGCTATCTTCTGCTGCCTTCCCAGGCCATAGCAGAGAGCTGGACTGGAAGAGGAGCAGCCAGGACTAGAACTGGCGTCCACACGGGATGCCGACATTTCAGGCCAGGGCTTTAACTCCCCCGGCTTTGGTTCTTTCTTTTTTTAATTTTTAATTTATTTTTTTATTTATTTGACAGGTAGAATTATAGACAGAGAAACAGAGAGAAAGGTCTTCCTTCCGTTGGTTCACTCTCCAAATGGCTGCTACGGCCCGCGCTGCGCCAATCCAAAGCCAGGAGCCAGGTGCTTCTTCCTGGTCTCCCATGTGGGTGCAGGGGCCCAGGCACTTGGGCCACCTTCCACTGCCCTCCCGGGCCCCAGCAGAGAGCTGGACTGGAAGAGGAGCAACCAGGACTAGAACCGGTGCCCATATGGGATGCTGGCACCACTGGTGGAGGGTTAACCAAGTGAGCCATGGCGCCAGCCCTTGGTTCATTCTTTTAAGATTTATTTGTTTATTTTCAAAGTGTTACAGAGAGAGAGGGAGCGACAGAGTTATTCCATCCTCTGGTTCACTCCCCAGTTAGCCACAATGACCAGGGCTGGGTCAGACTAAAGCCATGAGCCAGGAGCTTCGTCTAGATCTCTCACATGGGTGGCAGGACTCCAAACACTTAGGCCATTTTCCTCTCTTTTCCCAGGTCATTAGCAGACAGCTGGATCGGAAGCAGGGCAGCAGGATGTGAACCAGCACCCATATGGGATGCTGGCATCTTAGGCAATGGCTTTACCCGCTATGGCACAGCGCCAGCCCGTTTGTTCATTTTTTTATTTTAGACGGAGAGAGACAGTAAGAGGCAGAAGGACAGAGCGCTCCCTTCCACTGGTTCATTTCCCAGATGTCCACGATGGCCAAAACTGGGCTGTGCCAAAGCCAGGAATTGGAAACTCAATCCAGGTCTCTCACATGCCTGGAGGAACCCATTTAATTGAGCCATCACTGCTGCCTCCCAGGTTTGCATTAGCAGATGCTGTATCAAGAGCTAGGGATCAGACCCTGGTTCTCTGATATGGGACACTGGTGGTATCTTAGCCGCTAGGCTAAGGGCCCACCAAGAAATGGTGTTTTTAAGCCTACTACTTTTTAAAATTTGAAGGAGTAATATGCAGATTTAAAATTTATTCTGTTTAAAATTTTTTCCTGAGGTATACAGGATTGTTTCTCATGGTTTGTTCACGTTGATTGTCCTAAGATTTTATTTATTTGAAAGAGTTGGAGAGGAAAGCCAGAGAGAGGTTTTCCATTCCACTGGTTCACTCCCCAAATAATCGCTCAGCCATAGCTGAGCTGATCCGAAGCCAGGAATCAGAAGCTTCTTCCAGGTCTCCTACGCGGATGCAGGGGCCCAAGGAGTTGTGCCATCTTCCACTGCTTTAACCCACTGCACAACAGCACCAGCCCCTCCTATGTGTTTTTATATTAAAATTAAAAATCGGAAATAATGCCTGTTTTCTCTTGGGCAATAATGTATAATCATTATAATGCTTTATAGTTTACATTGTGTTTTTAGGGGCCATTTCAATTGAATTTTCAGTTCAGTGGCATTTATTCAGTCATCTGTGGTGTAGCAGAGCAAACCATGAAAGCTGTTGAGTCTGTTTATTCATTTGTAAAGTCATAGCCCTTACCTCATAAGATTGTTATAGAATTAAGTAATAGATATGAAAATTCTTTGTTAGTGATAAGAGATTGGCTAAAATAGTTTTTACATTCTTTAAGCACTGTGGGAGAGTTCATAGGTGACTCATTCTATATCTTTAAAGAATTCACAAATGGGAAGATTTAGACTGTAATACTTAATTCAAGGCATGTAATGAAAAATACTGTAATAGAAGGGCAGAGATACTCCTAGAGTATGGAGGAAGAAGACCTAAATTCTGTCATTGAGATTAAGCTAGATAATAATTAGTAAAAGATGATAGTTAAAAATTAACAGTTGTGATATTTTTGTAGTTTTTTAAAAAAAGATTTTATTTATTTGAAAGTCAGAAATACAGAGAGAGAGAGATTGATCTTCCATCCTTTGGTTCATTCACTAAATGGCTGCAACAGCCAGGGCTGGGCCAGGCTGAAGCCAGGAGCTTCTTCTGAGTCTCCTATGTGGGTGCAGGGGCCCAAGTACTGTGAGCCATCTTTCGCTGCTTTCCTAGGCACATTAGCAGGAAGCTGGATCAGAAGTGAAGCAACCAGGAACTGAACTGGTGCCCATATGGGATGCCAGCACTGCAAACTGAGGCTTAACCATCTATGCCACAGCTCTGACTCCTGTTTTTGTAAAACTGAAACTCTAGGGAGTTTTTATTTGTAAAGCTTCCCGCTTAAAAGTTAGGTGGTCTGGTAAAATAACTACACATGGAAGGGCCGGCGCTGTGGCTTAGCAGGTTAAGCCACCGCCTGTAGTTTTCGCATTCCATATGGACACTGGTTCAATTCCCAGCTGCTCCACTTCTGATCCAGCTCCCTGCTGTTGTGGCCATTTGTGCAGTGAACCAGCACGTGGAACATCTTTCTCTCTGTCCTCTTCTTCTCTCTGTAGCTCTGCCTTTCAATTAAATAAATAAATATTTGAAATAAGGGAAAAAAAAGAACTATACATGTGGAAAGTAAGAACTCTAAGTATAAGGACGATTCTTTCAGCAGCTAATGTAGTTTATTCTTTATTTTTGAATGATTTATTTTATTTATTTGAAAGAGCTACAGACAGAGGTAGAATCAGAGACAGAAAGGTCTTTCATCCGCTGGTTCACTCCCCAAATGACACTGATGGCCAGAGCTGAGCTGATCTGGAGCCAGGAGCTTCCCTTAGGTCTCCCAAGCTGGTGCAGGGGCCTAAGTAACTTGGGCCATCATCCACTGCTTTCCCAGGCCCTAGCGGAGAGCTGGATCAGAAGTAGGGCAGCCGGAACTCGAACAGGTGCCCATATAGGATGCCAGCACCATAAGCCAGGGCTGTAACCTGCTGCACCACAGCGATGGCCCCAATGTAGTTTATTCTTAGGAAATGAAGCTGCCACATTTTGGTATAGATTTGAAACTTTGGAAAGTGTTTCTTTTTAAAAGTTTTAAAAAAATCAAAGCAACATTTATTCAAAAGGCAGAGTGACTGAGGGCAGCAGAGGCAGAGAAAGGTATGTCATCCATCCCCACATGTTACAACAGCCAGAGCTTGGCCAGGCAGAAGCCATGAGCCAGGAACTTCATCTGGGTCTCCGATGTAGGTAGCAGGAATCCAAGCATACAGGCTGCCATTTGCGGCTTTCATAGGGAAGTTAAATAGGAAGGTGGATCAGAAGTGGAGCAGCCTGGACTCAAACTGCCCCTCTGCTATGGAGTACTGGTGTTGCAAGTGGCAGCTTAACCTGGTACAACATATTGCTAGCTTCTGGAAGGTGCTTTTTTAAGGAAGAGGTCTATTCCAGTGAGATTTGGTGTTGTGTTTACCTGTGACACTCTAGTAGTATGAGGGATATAAACATGAACCAAAGGGAAAAAACACTCTGATCCTGTTGAACTTAAAATTTGGAATGGGTAGGCAAACAATAAACACAGATTAAGTATGTGCTCTGTTAGATGGTGATAAGCATCTTGGAGAAAAACAAAAAAGAAGGAGAAATATGCCAGAAAGAGTTGAAACGGTTGCAGTTTTAATTGGAGGGATTATTAAGAAATTTGAGCAAAGAATTTAGGTAAGACTTAATTACCCATTCTAGAAGATTTTTTCATGGTGTTTATATTCAGAATTTTAAAGGCTTTGCCCAGCTTAGTTGGTTTGCTTCAGTATTTGAAGAAAGGCAAAGAAAAGACTTGTTTCCTTCATGTTGAAAGGGAAATTTAAGGCTATAAAAATGGAACCTTCTAAGATACGCATTTATTTTGTTAGTGTATGTAAGGCAGCTTTGGATTTCCCATCTACTACAGTGCTTTTTCAGTTTTGTTTTCTTTAGTAGTCCTGTAGAGAAAGGATTTTTAGTTTAGTTTTTTTTTTTTTTATTCTTAAAGATTTATTCCTTTATTTGAAAGAGTTATGTAGAGAGAAATTTGCTGTCCCTGGTTCACTCACCAAATGGCTGCACCATCCTGAGCTGGGACAGGCTGAAGCCAGGAGTTAGGAGCTTCATTTGGGTCTGCCATGTGGTTAATAGGGGCCTCAGCTCTTTGGCTGCCCTCTGCTGCTTTCCCAGGTGCATGAGCAGGGATCTGTATTGGCAGTGGAGCAGGCGGGACTCAAACCAGTCCTCATATGGCAGGCAGCAGCTTAACCTGCTGTACTCCAATGCCAGCCCCAGTTTTCCTTTTTCCTAGATTTCACAGGAAACTGTACACATTTAGATGTAAAGGACCACAGGAACAAAAGAGTGACTTGAGAATAAAATTAAAGTAGAATAAATAGGGCTTACTAAATTAATTTTGATTTCTTTTCATATTTTACATGTATGTCTGGTTAAAGCAGGAGTTGAGGATAATACCGTAAACCCAGTGCCAATCATAAGAAAATCAGTAATTGTTCTTTTCACTTATATTCCTTTTGTCTACTGTATTTTGTTTTAAGTGAGATTTCTTTAAATTCACTGTTTTAAATTCTTTCATGTTTAGAGACATTCAAGTTGGGTCTTTAGGTGAGCATGATAATAGGAGTCATTGTTTTTAGTGTAGTTAGTGTGTTTTTGCCTTGTATTAAATTGGAGTTTGTAGTATTTTTATTGTAGTTGTTGCTTCAGTAGTACAACTTTATAAACACTCAAACTTCACAGGAGTTATTAAGTGAAAGACAAAAGTCATGTTTATTTTTAACTTCTGAAAAATTGTGAGGTACTTTACTTTGCTTGACTCATTGTGATCAGATTAATTCAGCTTCAAATCCCTTCTAGCTCTGTGACTTTTTTGCTTAGGTAGAATAACTCATAATACTTCTTACCATGGGCCATTTTTCATTTGATATCATCTATTCTCTTGAAAAATTTTTACTGTTCTTCTAATATTCAGAATTTTTTTTCCCAAAACTATTTTGTTGCCTGAAAATGGGATTTTACATTAGGGAGTTTAAAGATAATGTAAAATATTTTATACTTAACAATTTGAATTTTTAAGTGACCTAATTATAATTAGTTTATCAAGTTCATAGACTTTTTAATTCATTTTACAGAAGAGGCTGCAGAGGAATCGATTGCTATCAGCATTGCACAGATGGAAAAACGTTTACTTCATGGCTTAATCCATAATGTGCTACCATATGTTGGTACTTCTGTAAAAACGTTAGTATTAGCATACAGTTCTGCAGTTTCCAGCAAAATGGTATGTATGCATTAGCATTAGTTTGGGTATTAAGGAAAATTGCAATGATATTACTTCAGTTGCTAATTCTTGAGTCTGATTAAGGGAAAAAAGAAACCAAAACAATTATTAGGTGCCATCCCATGAGTAGGCACACACTGCTAGATTTCATATAATTTTACTCAGTTTTCACAGCAATCTGTGTAGCATAAATATCGTTGCCTACATATTGTAGAAGAGGTAACAGACTGGAGGAGGCTGATAAGCATTGTATTCAGTTTCATAGATGTTAAGTGATGAAGACCAGTTTTATATAACTTTATGATAAAATATGTAAGACATGGTACGCTGGACAAATCAGGTGAAACCAGTTTTATGAAAGTATTTTGACTTCTACCTTCTTAAAAATATAAACGTACTGGTTTTCAGTTGCATGACTACTTAAATTGGTTCCCAGGGATTGAGCCCAGAATATTTATTTTTATTGTGCTATTCAACTAATGTTTTACATCCACAGAAGTTTGAGAATCATGGTTGTATTTACTAATAGTTGTCTATTGCTTGTCTAACTGAAGGTCTGTTGATCTTTACAGTGTCTTTTTCCCCCCTCTTAGGTAAGGCAGATTTTAGAGCTTTGTCCTAACCTGGAGCATCTGGATCTTACCCAGACTGACATTTCAGATTCTGCTTTTGACAGGTTAGTTTTTTTTTTTAAATATTTAAATATAATGAATTCTAGCTATGAATCAGTAGAATTGCTCTATAATTTCTTACATAGTTGCAGTTTAATCATATTGTTATTTTTTTACTACCAAATCTTAGTCATACATGACTTACTACTTGATAACACTAATTGTTTTTTTTTAATTATTTATTTATTTTGATTTTATTTGAAAGAAACAGATTCCCCCATTAGCTAGTTCACGCCCCAAAAATGCCAGTAACAGCCAGGGCTGAGCCAGACTAAGCCAGGAGCTCAGAAATCAATCTGGGTCTTTGATTTGGGTGGCAAGGACCCAAGTATTTGAGCCATCACCTGCTGTCCCCTGGGGTGCACCCTAGCAGGCAGCAAGTCTAGCTGGAACTTGAACGAGGCACTCTTGATAGGAAATGCAGGTATCCCAAATGGCATCCTAACCGTTGAACCAAATGTCCACACATCTCCTCGCTATACCCCCATCCCACTGCTGCCCTGTTCTTTGCCTCTTGTCCATAGGTCTTAGCTGATTTTAAATTCTGATTGGTATCATCTTGCTGTCTCTGTTGTCTTTTATTGTGTCTGGGCCTTGAAGCTGTGCTGTGCAACCATGTAGACTGGTATTATATTTTTCAGGCTTCAGTTGGTCTCTGAATGCTATTTGGCAAAGATCTCTCTTAAATTCTTCACAGTTATTCTCAAATGCTACCACTTTCTTCAAGCTGCACTTTCAACAGATAATTTTTCCTTGGGTACCAACAATTTCCCCTATTCTGTCTCACCCCTCCTTCCCCCCTGGCATTTCCTGATTCAGAGGAAAAGGTAAATTCTTCTCTTGCTAAGACTAATACTCTCCCATGCCTGGAGCTTGTTTCTTCTGGATCTTCCTCCAGTAATCATTAGTTACTGTGTAGAGACTGCCTATCCTCAACTTGTTACTTTGATAATAAACTGAAGACTAGCCATTTCTTACCTTTCTCTAGTCTACCCTTTTGTTAGGTTAGCAGTTCTATTTCCTAATTTGGCATTTTTTTCCCTATTCCTAGTGTCCAAAATAGTGCCTGCAAATGATAGTGAATGTTTGAGTAACTATATTAAATTTACAATCTTTTACTTATATGTGTGTGTTTGTATGTATAATGCTTTTGATGCATTTAGCAGTATCTATTAATCATCTTTTACCTCTTAATTATAGTTGGTCTTGGCTTGGTTGCTGCCAGAGTCTCCGGCATCTTGATTTGTCTGGATGTGAAAAAATCACAGATGTGGCTCTGGAGAAGATTTCCAGGGCTCTTGGAATTCTGACATCTCATCAGAGTGGCTTTTTGAAAACTTCCACGAGGAAAATTACTTCGACTACATGGAAAAATAAAGACATTGCCATGCAGTCCACCAGGCGGTATGCCCGTTTGCACAGTTTAACCAGTGAAGGCATTGGAGAAGAAATAAATAATGAACACACCTGGACTAAGTCTGTTTCTCCTGAAAATTTTACTTCTCCATATGTGTGGATGTTAGATGCTGAAGATTTGGCTGATATTGAAGATGCTGTAGAGTGGAGACATAGAAATGTTGAGAATCTTTGTGTAATGGAGACAGCACCCAACTTCAGTTGTTCGACCTCTGGTTGTTATAATAAGGATATCGTTGGACTAAGGACTAGTGTCTGTTGGCAGCAGCATTGTGCTTCACCAGCCTTTGTGTATTGTGGTCATTCATTTTGTTGTACAGCAACAGCTCTAAGAACTATGTCAGCACTCCCAGGGTCTTCTGCAGTGTGTAGAAAAGCATCAAGGACTACATTGCCCAAGGGAAAAGACTTAATTTACTTTGGGAGTGAAAAATCTGATCAAGAGACTGGACGTGTACTTTTGTTTCTCAGTCTGTCTGGATGTTATCAAATTACAGATCATGGTCTCAGGTAAGTACTCAATTGTATAGTATTAGGAAATGGATATCTTTCTCATACATGAATGGAATAAGAAATTTTTACTATAAGTTAATCATGCCCCTTTATATAGGCAGGAGAGTTAATCAAGATCAGTCCTACTTCTTAGTGCTGGAACATTATGATTTCTCATATCAGCAGTTTCATTCAGTTCAAATTCATTTTGGCATATAGAACAAATTTAAAAGTTTAATCAAAACTTAGTAATGGCTACATTACATTTTTTTTCTTTTTAAAGTTTTATTTATTTATTTGAAAGAGTTACAGAGAGGCAGGAGCAGACAGAAAGATCTTACATCCACTGGTTCACTCCCGAAATGGCCACAACAGCTGGAGCTGGGCCAGTCCGAAGCCAGGAACCAGGAGCTTCTTCCAGGTCTCCCACGTGGGTACAGAAGCCCAAGGGCTTGGACCATGTTCTACTGCTTTTCTAGGCACATTAGCAGGGAACTGGATTGGAAATGGAGTAGCCGGGACCCAAACTGGCACCCATATGGGATGCTGGCATGGCAGGCAGTGGCTTTATCTGCTGTGCAACAGTGCCAGCCTCTACATTACCTTTTTTTTTTTTTTTTTTTTTTTTTTGACAGGCAGAGTGGACAGTGAGAGAGAGACAGAGAGAGAAAGGTCTTCCTTTGCCGTTGGTTCACCCTCCAATGGCCGCCGCTGCAGCCGGCGCACCGCGCTGATCCGATGGCAGGAGCCAGGATCCAGGTGCTTTTCCTGGTCTCCCATGGGGTGCAGGGCCCAAGCACCTGGGCCATCCTCCACTGCACTCCCTGGCCATAGCAGAGAGCTGGCCTGGAAGAGGGGCAACCGGGACAGAATCCGGCGCCCCGACCGGGACTAGAACCCGGTGTGCCGGCGCCTCAAGGTGGAGGATTAGCCTATTGAGCCACGGCGCTGGCCTACATTACCTTTTTAAAAGATAATAAAATAGATGAATAAGATAATTTTCACCCTCAAGTACATAAAACAGAAGAAAATGTGTTATCATATACTGTTGCTGAATATTGTTACGGTGAAAAACAGAATACAAAATAATTTAGTGCAGCTATATAGCTTTTAAGTATTTATAGGAACAAAAGCACTTCTAGGGTAGAACTTTTTAAATTTCATGGTTTTTTGTTTTTTGAAGCAGTTTGCTTTGTTTTTTAATTTTTTTACTTCTTTGAAAGAGCAGCAGAGACAGAGATCCCCTTATCTGCTGGTTCAGTCCCCAAATGCCTGCAACTACAGGGGCTGTGCCAGGCTAAAACCAGGAGCCTGGAACTCCGTCTGGGTCTCCTGCACGTGTGGCAGGCAACCAAGTACTTGAGCCATCACCTGCTGCCTCCCAGGTGTGCAGTTAGCAAGAAGCTGTATCAGAAGTGGAGTGGGGACTTGAATCAAGGTACTCCAAAATGGGATGCAGGTGCCTGAAGTAGCATTGTAACTGCTGCACCAAATACCCATCCCTGAGGCAGAGTTTAGATACTGTAGCTGGAAATTAGAATTTTTGATCATGACGTACCTAATCTTCTGCTGTGGAAGTTCTTCATTTTATTTTCTCATTTTTATGAACACAACCTTTAGCAGATTAAATTGAACCCTTTAAAATTATTTATATGCTTTTATTTATTGGACAGAGACAAAGACATATCTTCCTTTTTTGCTGGTTTACTTTCCAAATGTCCACATGGGCTGGAGCTGAAGCTAAGAGCTTGGGACTCAATCCAGGTCTCCCAGATGGATGGCAGGGACCCAACTACTTGAATGATCACCTGCTGCCTCCTAAGGTGCACTAATATTAGTAAGAAGCTAGAATTAAAAGTGGAGCCTGGACTCTCACCCAAACTTTCCAATATAGGATGTAGGCATCCCAGACAGAGATTCAATCTACTCTCCTTTTTTTGCCCCTAGACAAAAAGAGAGGTAGAAGTGAAACATTCATTAGCCCAGAGAAGTAGCTCTTTTCAGAAACCAGGTTCTGCTATATATTCTATGAAACCCAATTGGAATTTTGTTGGGTTATGAGTACTCTATGGACAATGTTGGGGACAATACCATGGTTCACTGGCTTTAGGGCCAGACCTACTTTGGGTAGATTATGCTCTTCTTTATCTGTATAACTGGCATTTTGTAAAATATTTAACTTCATTGTTGTGAGGCTTAGGTTACATGCAAAGCATCTAACAATAATGTGAGGTAGGGTTTCAATAAATACAGCTACTGTGCAATAATTGTTTGATTACCGTTGATATGAACCTTTGGAAATTGTTACAACATAAAGTTCTGGGGGGCTGATGTGACACACAGGGTTGGAGTTCCAGGAGGTTTAGTTTTATTTTATTTTTTTAAAGATTTATTTATTTGAAAGAGTTACAGAGAGTCAGAGGCAGAGAGAGAGAGAGGTCTTCAGTCTGCTGGTTTATTCCCCAAATGGCTGCAAGAGCTGGAGCTGGGCTGATCTGAAGCCAGGAGCTTCTTCTGAGTCTCCCACATGGGTTCAGGGGCACAAGCACTTGGCCATCTTCTACAGCTTTCCCAGGCCATAGCAAAGAGCTGGATCAGAAGTGTAGCAGCAAGAGCTAGAACAGGCACCCTTAAGGGTTGCTAGCACTGCAGGTGGCAGCCTTACCTGCTATGCCACAGCGCTGACCCCAGGAGGTTCACTTCTGATCCAGCTTCCTGCTAATGTTTCCTCAGAAGACAATGGAATATGGCCTAAATAATTGGGTCCCTGCCATGCACGTGGGAGACCTACTTGAAGTTCCTGACTTCTGGCTTTGGTCTGACATAGCTCCGACTCTTGTAGGCATTTGACAAGTGAACCAGCAGATCCTCCCTGTCACTTTGCCTTTTAAATAATTAATTAAAAAATGTTTAGGGATAATGGGATTAAAAGATGTTTAAGTGCAAAAGTATTTTGTAGTACATGCATAGTTTTTTCATAAAATATGCAGTTTCTATGAACTTTTGAATATCCCTCATTTGCATAGATTTCAAATTTTTTTTCACAGAAGGAAATTTAATCTTAATTATATTTTTCCATGAATTTTTTGAAGTACCCTTTTGTTTTTTCTTGATAATGAGATATAACCTGTTCTGGGACAGTGTTTAGAAACACTCAGAATGGTCCAGTGTTTGATGTACTTCCATAGGCTTTCCTACAGTACAGCCTCTAACAAAACTGGGCTGCCCTGAACCGCTGATAAATTAGTTGTTTACCTTTAAAGTAAGAAATTAGGGATACATGAAAAATGTTTGTGGTGTGTGCTCAGGTAGACTTTGAAGAGTTTGTGCTTAGAGACCTAAAGTTCTTATGAGGTTGTCTAAAACAAAAAGCAAAACATGTAATCAAGGCCTATGGTGGTTCCATGGGTGCTAAATATGTCTGTGAATATCAAGCACACTTTCCTTATTTGAAGAGCAAAAAATCATTGTGAAAGTGTTGAAGGCACAAGCAGAGTCAAAAAACTAAATGTAAGAAGATAACCATACTACTTTCCCTTTCTCCCTCCTTCAATCCCCTTTTTTCCTTTTTTTTTTTCTTTAGTTTTTCCAAAAACATGATTTCAGTTCACTCCATAATCACAGTATTAATGCATCACTAACCCTAATATTCAACAAGTAAAAAGTAGAAAGACCAGGGCTGGTGCTGTGGCATAGTAGGTTAATTATCTGCCTCTGGCGCTGGCATCCTATATGGGCATTGGTTTGAGTCCCAGCTACTTCACTTCTGATCCAGCTTCCTGCTGATGGCCTGGGAAAGCAGTAGATGGCCCAAGTGCTTGGGCCCTTACACCTACATGGGAGACTTGGAAAAAGCTCCTGGTTTCAGACTGGCCTAGCTCCAGCTGTTGTGGCCATTTGGGGAGTGAACCAGTGGCTAGAAGACCTCTCTGTCTCTCTCTCCCCATTTCTGTCTGTATGCCTGCCTTTCAAGTAAGTAGTCTTTAAAAAAAAAAAAAAAAGTAGACCACAGTTCTACAGGAGTATCAACAAGGGCCAAAACCAACAATCAAATCACAAGATGTCCATTTTATCCCTATACATTTTTCTTTCTTTCTTTCTTTTTTTTTTTTTTTTTTTTTTTTTGGTATTCTATAGTAACTACCACATATCTGAGAAGGCATATGATATTTGTCCTTTTTGGATTGGCTTATTTCACTAAGCATAATGGTTTCTAGTTGCATCTATTTTGTTGTAACAGACTGGATTTCACTCTTTTTTATGGCTGAGTTGTATTCCATAGTGTATATGTATTACATTTTTCTTTATCCAGTCATCAACCGATGAACATCTGGGTTGCTTCCATATCTTAGCTACAGTGAATTAAGCTGCAGTAAACATAGGGGTACAAATAACTCTTTGCATATGCTGATTTCATTTCGTTTTGGTAAATTCCCAGGTGTGGGATGGCTGGGTTAAATGGTATATCAATTTTCAGATTTCTGAGGAATCTGCATACTGTCTTCCATAATGGTTGCACTAATTTACAATTCTACCAACAGTGTATTAAGGTACCTTTTTCCTCACATCCTCACCAGTATTTATTCATTTTGATTTTTAGATGGTGTCCATCTAACTGTGTTGAGGTGAAACCTCATTGTGTTTTTATTTATATTTCCTTGGAAGATTTTTCCATTTTTTTTCTACTCTTCTATTTCTTAATGTCTTGTAGTTCTTGTTGTAGAGATCTTTTACATCCTTTGTTGAGTGTATCCCAAGGTCTTTAAATTTTTTTTGTAGCTATTGTGAATGGGACCGATCTTAAAAGTTCTGTCTCAGCCATGGCATTGTCTGTGTATACAAATACTGTTGATTTTTTTTGTGTTGATTTTATATCCTGCAGTTTTACCAAACTTTCTTATGACTTCCAATAATCTCTTAGTGAAGTTGTTGGTTCCCCTATGTATAGGATCATGTCATCTCAAACAAGGATACTTTGACTTTCTCCTTTCCAATTTGTACTCCTTTTATTTCTTTCT